TTGTATTATACAATATTTCAACCTTTATTAATAGACAGTTTAAATAATATAATTTCAAAAAACAAGTAAAAATAAACCTTGAACACATAATAATTATTTAAAATATAATTATGAATAACAAAATAAAATTTTAAAATTGTTTATACAATGTAATATTTACAACAAAAGTTARGGTTTTAACTTTTTACTATATATTTATTATATAATTTATTACCATTGATTAAACTTACATAAAAATGTTTATCAATGATATTACTTTTATTATTAATTATGAATGTTTAAAATTGGCTATAAGATCACAGATTTAAAATTAAATTAAGTTTATATTAATTCATATAACACAACAATATTAGCCATTATAATTGATCAATTAACTGTTGATAGAAGTTCATCAAATTAATAATTAAATCAAAATTATTTWAACATTTCAGAATTAAAATATTTATAGATCAATAAGGTACACAAATTGTATTTAAACTCTATCAATTTATTAATAGATATATTTCATCTTTAATGAATACACAATTAGAAAATAATGTAAAATTACTATTGTATGRTTGGTTTTAGATGGTAAATATAATATAATCTATTTAAAATTTTGGTTATAGACAAAATTAATAAACAATAAGAATAATGAAAAAAATATGATAAGTTAAGCTAAACATTAAAACTAAAAAAAAAATATTAATTTTATAAGTATTGGGCACCAACAATTGAAGAGATTCATATTAATTGTTGTGTAATAATTGTGTTCGGAACAATGTCCATAAATTAGTAATACCTTGTAAATAGTTTAAATCAATTTTACCATCAGCTGGAGTTACATGTGCAAAATCTATAAGTGATACTCTTAACAAAGGACAAGTGTCTTCATCATTTTTTAATGTCTCTGCATCATATGCTAACAGAACCGAACTAGAATAAAAATGGTAATGTTTTTGAGTTTGGAAGTATCGTCTTATGTGATCCAATTGTGTTGTAAAGCTTTGAACTAGTTTTTCTAAACCTAGATATCCACTGTTCAAGTTTAAAAATGTCTCGAACACTGAAATATTTCATTTAATTTAGTAGAATATAAAATTATTATTAGTTAAATTAGTTATAAAGATGATACCAGAGATAACTTTTCCTGGATCTAAACTTTTGCCAAATTCTTTATCATATTTCTGTGGCTGTACCAAATTGGAATTTAATAAATCGTACACTTGAA